GTCCCCCTTTCCCCCCCCCCATATCATATGCCCATAGGGGTTCTCCCTTTGGGAAGGGGATGGAGGGGATGGGGTGTGCGCTGCCGCAGCGCTCCCCGCCGCAACCGTGACTCAGCCCCGGGATTAGTCAGCAACTGGGGCCGGCCCACCAGCAACGGGCTGCGTAGCTCCGCTGTTGTGTGTGTGTGGGTCCCCCCCCCACGGGTCCGAAGCCGCTTTATACCCACTCCATCTCGCCCCGGTACCCCCGACGCGCACCGGGGTGCGCGTCGGGGGTACCGGGGCGAGATGGAGGGGGAATAAAGCGGTCCCCTTAGTGGGGGGGAGAGTGATGGAGAAAGCGGGGGGGACACGACACACACACACATCCCGGAGAGCGGCCCGTTGCTGCCATCTCGTGGGCTTCCCACTCGTGACTGGCTAATGAAGGGAGTCCCATTCCTTTGGGAATACCGGCTGGATGCGTGTTCTTGTTTGGGGTTGAGCATCCCCGGTCAAAGGGGAGGCGGGTGGCAGCATCGCATTGAGAAGCATTTGGAAGGGGAGGGGGGGTCATCGTCCTGGCAAGCATCGCATCATAGGGATAAGGTGCTCAGCTGCCTGGCAGCTTGCAGGGAAGGGGTCCCATCAGCCCATCAGGTATTATCCCACAAGGAAAGGGTCCCATCACCCCGTCAAGCAGCACCCCACAAGGGAAAGGGTCCCATTGCTCCATTAAACATCACCTGGCAGGCATGGGTGTCCCTGTTTGACTGAGCGTCACCCCAAAAGGAAGGGGTCCCATCACCCCATCAGGTGTCACCCCTTAAGGAAGGGGCCCCATCACCCCATCAGGTATCACCCCTTAAGGAAGGGGTCCCATCACCCCATCAGGTATCACCCCTTAAGGAAGGGGTCCCATTGCCCCATGAAGTGTCATCACATAGAGAAAAGGTCCCATCACCTCTCCCCCCTCCAAATGCCACCCCACTGGAAGTGTTCCTCACTCAATTTGAGTATTGTCCCACAGTAGAAGTCAATTGACCCACAGGGAAGGGGTCTCATCACCCTATCAGACAGCACCCCACAGGGAAGGGGTCCCATTGCTCCATGAAACATCACCTGGCAGGGATGGGTGCCCTTGTTTGACTGCCCACAAGGAAGGGGTCCCATTGCCTCCTGAAGCATTATCCCTCAGAGAAGGGGGTCTCAGCACCTCTCTTTCCCCCTCCCCAAGTATTACACCACTGGAAGTGCTCCTCACCCAATTTGAGCATCATTCCACAAGGAAGGGATCTCACTGCCCCATGATCCATCACTCATAAGGCAAGAGGTCCCATCATCCCACCAAGCATCACCCCACAGGGATGGGGTCCTCACCTACCTGCACATCACCCAGCAGGGAAGGGGTCCCACCACCCCATCAGGTATCACCCCATAAGGAAGGGGGTTCCATTGCCCCCTCCAGCTGACAGAGACCTCGTTATGTGCAACAAGGGGAAGTTCAAAGCCGTAGGGGTCAGGATATCCCAGAGGCCACAGCAAAGACCCCGGAGGTCCTGGTGACCATGAACCAGCAACGTGCCCTTGGGGTAAAGGAGGCAAACGGTGCCATGGGCTGTGCCAGGAGGGTGAGGATGAGGATGAGGATGAGGATCCCTCCCTTCTGCTCAGCGCTGGGGAGGCCACTCCTGGGCTCCCCAGTACAAGAGGTGTGGACAGACCCAGTGAAGGAGCACAATGAAGATCAAAGGACTGAAGCATCTCTCCTATAGGTGAGCTGGGGCTGCTCGGCCTGGAGAAGGCTCAGGGCATTGGGTCCCCGTACGTACATCCCGGAGGGAGGGTGCAGGGGGATGGAGCCAGGCTCAGCTCAGTGGTGCCCAGTGCCAGGACTGACCCATGGAGCTCCTCACTGAGCAGCACTGAGCATCTTTCCCTATGAGGGGAGCACTGGCACAGGCTGTCCAGGGCGGTGGTGAATTCACCATCCTCGGGGATGGCCAAAAGGCATCTGGGCAAGGTCCTGGGCAGCTTTAGCTGAGGGCTGGGTGATAACTCCTGAGGTCCTCAACCTCAGTCACTGCGTGAGCCTGTGCACCTGAACGTCCCCTCACAAGAAAGGGCCCCAGCACCACATGAAATATCACCCTGTGGGGTAGGTACCTTTGTCCGACCGAGCATTTCCCCCCTCCTCAGCATACCCATTGGGCTCCCATTGCCCCACCAAGCAGCACTCCACAGGAGCATGGCCCCCCATTCACCTGAGCATCACCCCAAAAGAAGGGGTCCCTTTGACCACCCAATGGCATCCACCGCAGCCTGGCTGGTGGAGGGGCTGTCCCATGCCAAGAGGGGGGGTCAACCCTTCCCATCACCTCGCAGGGACCCCAGCAGCACCCTGTGTCTCCGTCCAGCTTTAAGCAGGTGGAGCCCAGTGTGAGCATCCCATGAGCAGGGTGGGCATCACCCATGCACCCCCAGCTCAGCGCTGTCACGAGCTGCACGGCCTCAGCCCAGCAGCGCAGGCAGAGGGGACACAGGGGGCACGGTGCTGGGGCCGGGGGGCTTCCATAGCCCAGCTCCATGGGGAGAATGAAGTGTGAGGAGCCAGCGGGGGCTGAGGCTGCCGGCGGTGCCGGATGCGGCCCGGCTGGCCAACGCGCCGTAATGGAAGACATGTGTGTGGGCTTTGGGGAGAGGCTGCGCTGGGAAACAGGGCCCTGCAGAGACCGGGGGGCTGTATCCTGTCCAAGAGCCCAGGTCCCACATGAAGCCAGGCATGCGAACGCGATCCAAACCACAGCTGGATTTGAACCGAATCTCCCAGCATCTGGGCTAATTTGCTGCAACTTTGATTGATCGTGGGGAGGGGGCACGGGCGGGAGACGCTCCAGCTCAGACCTCCCAACAGAGCCAATGACTTAACCAGAGCTGGTTCCAATCTGCTCAGCACATTGAGGCGAAAATGCCCCCTTTTCTCCCCCCCCCCCCTCTGCGCGTTCCCATTCCCTGCCGGCAGCCCCGCAGCTCGGCCATTCCCATCCCTCAGGGCTCAGCGTGAGCCGCAGGTCGTAGAACCAAGGAATCCCGGCATGGAATGGGACCGTAGGGCTCACCCGGCTCCAACCCCCTGCCACAGGGACACCTTCACTAGACCAGGTTGCTCCAAGCCCCATCCAACCTCATCCATGGGGACCCCCAGCAGCTTTTGGGCTTGGGATTCCCCCGCATGATGGGAATGGGGATATCAATTGCTCCACCCCGCCTCCACCTGCCCCAATGCCCTGCGGGCACCCATCCACCCCTGCTCTGCTGGGAGAGGCCGGCAATGGGGGAATCGCTGCCAAAATAGGTGGAAAAGGTGAAGGTTTTTGCATTCCCCCCCCTCTCCCACACACACCTTGGTGGCTGCCCCAAGGGCTCGGCGTCACTCAGCAGGTAGCTGGGGCAGGCGGGGGTCCCGGCCGGCCCCGGGGGGGAGCAGCTGTCTGGGAGCCGCTCGCTGCAGTGATTTATGCAGCTCAGCCCCATAAATTACCGGGACGGAGCCCGCGGGAGCCATCGCTCACAGCGACGTCCAGAGCTCGCTGCCAGAGCCTGAAACACTTCCAGCCCTTAATTGAAGGGGGGGGGGGGGGGAAACAGGGAAAGCGATAAAGGGAGGGGAGGAAATTAGTGCCCGGGGAGTTGGGATTAAACCATGGCTCTGTAATGAGGGTCGCCCACGTCCCGCTCCCAGGATCCCGATGCTTCCTGTAGGCATGAGCCCAAGATGGGGAGCAGGGAGGGGGATTTCTGCGTGGTGCCCACGGGCAGTGTGAGCCTGTGCTGGTCCATAGGGTGGTGTCCCAGAGTGAGCTGGGCCCGATGGGAATGTGAGGATGAGTTCCAAATGAGGGATGCTGAGCAGGGATGCGGCTGCCACCACCTCCACGCCAGCACCCGTCCTCTTCTCTCCTTCATTCAGGGATAGCCAAACCCTGTCCCAGGGGCTGGGATCCCACTCAGTGAAGGACCAGGGTCATGGCGTGAAGCCCCCACAGCACCCGGGCTGCCCCCATCGCCCTGCTCAGGCCGGGGGGTGCCAGCGGGGACCCCCCCCATGGTGAGCACCCGTCCCGGAGGTGCCCTTCTCGCTGCTTTGCTCTTGTGCAAGAGGCTGCGGCCGTGAGAAAGGAGAAGTGAAAGCGCAAAGCAGCGACACGCGGCTCCCCCCGCGCCACGGGGGGGACCCGAGGCTGCACCCCCCGGCCCAGCAGCCTCTTAAGGGATGGAAACCTGGTGTCGTCCCCCCCCCCCCACACCCCTTCTCCTCCTCCTCCTCATCCCAAACCACCGCAAGCCCCCGGCCCACCCTGAGCCGCCACCGCACATCTGGGCGCCAGCGCTGAGCCCCCCCCCCGGCCCGCTTTGTGCCTTCCTCCACCAGCAGCAACTTAGGGCCGGCTGCTCCCCCCCCCCAAACCCTAAAAACCCCTTCCCTACATCGCTTGCACCCATTGGGGTTTCCCCCTCAGCACCCAATGGGTGCTCCCCCCCCCCCCCCCCCCAACCATGGGTCGGCACCAAGCTCCCTGCATCGAACGCAGCAGCCGGACCCTCGCAGGACCCTTCCCCACCGCCCGTCCCGTCGGGTCCCACCGCGCACCTGCGCAGGGAGGAGCCGCCTCCGGTAACGGGCGGCGGCGGAGCGCACCGGAGCCGCTAGATGGCGCCGTGCGAGCGGCACCGACGGCGCGGGATGGTGGTGGCGTGGTGGGGGGGGACGGGACGGGACACACGAGAGCATTTACCCGGAGCCACCGAGTGGGGCCGGGAGCCCCCGGGGAGCCCCGGCGGGGCGGGAGCTCGGTGGCTGCGGGCAAAGGCCGATGTCCAAGGGATGGAGACCCCCGAGGGGGCGGCGGGGTCGGGGTGGGAAGAGCCCGGGATTGGAAGGGGTTTGTGTGTGTGTGTGGAGGGGGAAACGGGTTCGGAGAAGGAGGAGGAGACCGGGATGGGGAGGGAGGGAAGGGGGGGCCCGGCTTGTCGGTGCCCCGCCCGGGGATGGGAGGAGGAAAACCTCCCGCCGTCCCTTTAACAGCCAGCGGCGCTGCTCGGAGTTCAGGCCGGGGTCAGGGGGAGTTCGCAGCCCGGGTTTCACCTCCGAGCTGGCGGCGTCGGGAACCCCGAGGAACCGCTGCTGCTTCTTCTTCCACCGCCGCCTCTTCCTCCTCCTCCTCCTCCCGTTCCGCAGGACCGGCCGGGAGCGCGGGGTATGGAGGAACAGCAGCAGCAGAAGAGGAGGAGGGTGGAGGGGAACAGCAACCGGCGGCGGCCCCCCCGGGGCTGAGCCATGAGAGTTCACCGAGACCTCGGCTGGTTGGCGGAGGCCACCGGGCGCCCAGGTAAAGGGGAAAGGGACGGGGAAGGAGGGGAGGGGGGGGGCACCAAGCGAGCCATTAGAGACAGAAACACCCCAAAGCGCAGCTCCGCCGGCGCTTGGCTTTGCCCACCTGGGGCCCGGCACCGGACCGGAGGCGGGGAGGGGAGGTCCCGAGGTGAACGGAGGGCGGGGGGGGGGATGTGTGTGTGTGGACGGGAGAGGAAACGGGGGCGGGGGGCTCCGGTGGGGGGGGGGCACCACCGGCCGCCTCCCGGGACCGGGGCGCATAAGAGGCGGGAGGCGCGGCGGGGAGGACCGCGGGGCAGCGGCGCTGCGCAGGTAACGGCGGGCGGCGGCCCCCGGGGGGGCGGGCGGAGGGGCAGCGGGCGGCGCGGTCCGCAGGTGGTCGCGGGGGTGCCGGGCGCTGGCGGGGCCGGGGCGCGGCGCTGGCGGCGGCCGCGGGTGATGTCACTTTCTCCAAGAGCCTCCGGGGGTTCTCATCCCCCCCCTCCCGTTCCCGTCCCGTTCCCGTCCCCCCCCCCGGTTCGTTCCGAATCGAGCCCCCATATAAGCGGTGGCACCGGCCGAGCGGCCGCACAGAGCGGCCCCGGGCGCAGCAGCGTGCGGCGCTGAGCCCTCGGCCCTCCCCTTCCAGCTCCCCATGCGCACACACACACACACATGGGTTGAGCCCCCCGACGTGTGGGTCAAACACCCCCCCCTCCCCTTCCCCAATTCCAGGTCCGTGCCGGCGCTGACGGACGGGGCGGTGTGTTGCAGGGCGGCGGGTGCGGAGCGGGATGCTGGACGCCATGGAGGTGCCGAGCCACTCGCGGCAGCTGCTGCTGCAGCTGAACACGCAGCGCACCAAAGGCTTCCTGTGCGACGTGATCATCGTGGTGCAGAACGCGCTCTTCCGCGCGCACAAGAACATCCTGGCGGCCAGCAGCGCCTACCTCAAGTCGCTGGTGGTGCACGACAACCTGCTCAACCTGGACCACGAGATGGTGAGCCCCGGCATCTTCCGCCTCATCCTCGACTTCATCTACACCGGCCGCTTGGCCGAGTGCGAGCCGGGCGGCGAGCAGAGCCTGGGCGCCGTGCTGGCCGCCGCCAGCTACCTCCAGATCCCCGGCTTGGTGGCCTTGTGCAAGAAGAAGCTGAAGCGCAGCGGCAAGTATTGCCACCTACGCGGGGGTTACGCGCCCTACAAGCTGGGCCGGGGGCTGCGCGCCGCCACGCCGGTCATCCAGGCCTGCTACTCGGGCACGCCGCGGCCCGTGGACCTGCCGCCCGTGGAGCCGTCGGCGCCGCTCAACACGCAGTGCGGGGAGCTCTACGCCTCGGCCGCCCAGGGCACCCCGCTGCACCCCCACGGGCTGTGCCCCCCCGAGCGCCACTGCTCCCCACCCTGCGGCCTCGACCTCTCCAAGAAGAGCCCCACCGGCCCCTCCGCCCAGCTCCTGCCCACCGACCGCCTGCTGCCCGCAGAGCCCCGCGAGCCCTCGCTGCCCCCCCGGCACGACAGCCCCCCCGTCAGCGCCGGCCTCCTGGGCGCCCACGCCGCTGCCTACAAGGACTCCCCGCCGGGGGGGGAGCCCGGGGGGCACCCGCACGTGCCGGACCCATTCCGCAGCACGCCGCCCTGCGCCGAGCCCCCGCTGCCGCGCGCCGACGGGCGCGAGCTGATGTACCGCTGGATGAAGCACGAGCCCCTCGGCCCTTACTTGGACGAAGGGGAGGCGGAGAAGGAGCTGGAGCGGGAGGAAAAGGCCGAGTCGCCGCCCGCGGCGCCGCAGCCTCGTTACCCCAGCGTGGAGAGCAACGACCTGGAGCCTGACAACAGCACGAGCGAGGAGACGGGCAGCAGCGAGGGTCCCTCGCCCGGGGACGCGCTGGACCGCTACTGCAACCACCTGGGCTACGAGCCGGAGAGCCTGGGCGACAACCTGTACGTCTGCATCCCCTGCGGCAAGGGCTTCCCCAGCTCCGAGCAGCTCAACGCGCACGTGGAGGCCCACAACGAAGAGGAGCTGTACCACAAGGCAGCGGCCGAGCAGGCCGTGCCCTTCCTGGACAAGGGCGGCCCGGGGCTGGGGGACATCCTGCGCCCTTACCGCTGCTCGTCCTGCGACAAGTCCTACAAGGACCCCGCCACGCTGCGGCAGCACGAGAAGACGCACTGGCTGACGCGCCCCTACCCCTGCACCATCTGCGGCAAGAAGTTCACGCAGCGCGGCACCATGACCCGCCACATGCGCAGCCACCTCGGCCTCAAGCCCTTCGCCTGCGACGCCTGCGGCATGCGCTTCACGCGGCAGTACCGGCTCACCGAGCACATGCGCATCCACTCGGGGGAGAAGCCCTACGAGTGCCAGGTGTGCGGCGGGAAGTTCGCGCAGCAGCGCAACCTCATCAGCCACATGAAGATGCACGCGGCCGGCCCCGACGGCAAAGCCAAGCTGGACTTCCCCGACAGCGTCTACGCCATGGCTCGCCTCACCGCCGACCAGCTGGGGCTCAAGCAGGAGAAGGCGGCCGAGCTCCTCTCCCACACCTCGCACTTCCTCAGCGACCCCAAGGCCATGGAGAGCCTCTACCCCTTGGCCAAGTTCACAGCGGAGCACCTGGGGCTGAGCCAGGACAAGGCGGCCGAGGTGCTGGTGCAGGCTCCGCACCTCCACGCCGAGGCTGCCCGGACCATAGAGCGCTACTCGCCGCCCTAGCGCCGGCACGGCCGGGGGGTGAGGAGGGCCTCTGGGGTCCCCTCGCTGCCCCGCGTGGAGATGGGGACGGGAGGGAGGCGATGGATGCTCGTCCCCCGTTTTCCACCCCCGGGCCCCGGCGCTGCCGATGGCTCCCGGAGAACTGGCTCGAAGCGGAGGGTCCCATGGGAGCCGCGTTCCGCCACGGGAGAAGCCGGGAATTCAGGGACTGACCTCGTGGTGCGGCTCCCACCTTGGGAGCGAAGCAGGGGCTGCGGAGGACATGAGCCCGCTCCTTACCTCAGGGCCACCCCGGGCGAAGTTGGGGGGGATGCTGGTGGCGGCTGCCCCCATCAGCCCGCAGCGGGACCCGGACTGTGCCCGTGAGTAGTTGATCCGTCGCTGCCGGCAGCCTTCCCGATGGGAACGGTGAGCATGGGGCTGGGTTGTGCCTTCCAAACCACCCCCCCCCCCCCTCCATGGCCATGCTGGGAGCGTGGGGACAGCCGGACAGAGGGGGTCGGTGCTGGGGGTGCATGGGGGGGGACGGTGGCCGAGGCTGGGGGGTGGCTGGGGGGTGGCTGGGGTACCCTCACCAGAGCAAGCACTGAGCTCCCGGCCTCATCCCAGCGCCCCCCCCCCCCGGTGTTTTCGGGAGCTGGGGCAGGGCCTGTCACAGACTGAGCCCCTGGGCACTGCCCCAGCCATCAGGGATGCTCGGGGGGGGGGGGACGGGACCCGGTGGCTTCACCCTCGCCTCAAATCCTCTCTTTTATCATTATTATTTGCCAAAGATGCCCGACCCCAGTGTGGCTGGGCTGGGCTGGGGGGTGTGTGTGGGGGGGGGGCATGACAAAGACAAAGCAGTCTGGTTTGTCAGCTATGGGGCTGGGGAGGGGAGGGGGGCACGGGGCTGCAGTGACCTGGGACCCCCCCCCCCAGTCCCACCTATGCTCGGTGTGGCCAAAGCTCCCCCAGCCCAACCCGGGCCCTGACCCCTCTGCCTGGGGCTAATGTGAAGCTTCTCCCCCCGTCTCCTTTGCACACGAGGCCCCCGTGGGGTGGGGGGGGGACTGTCCCCGAGGCCTCGCAGCCACTGTGCCTTAGCCTGAGCTGGCCGCTCCTGCCCAGGGTCCCTTCCTGTCCCCTCCTTGGGGTCCCCAGGGCTGGCAGCACCCCAAGCACAGCTGGCAGCCGCCGGCCCCCCTCTGTATCACGTCCGGTTTGTACATGGGCTCCTTGCCCCTCTTTTTTTAATATAGTCGAAACCAAATGAGCAATAAAGTGACATTAAACGTGCGTGGCCTCATCCTTCTCTGGGGGGGGGACGGGGGGGGCACCCTGCTCGGTGCTGAGAGGTGATAACGGGAGAGGCCAGGCTGTGCTGGGTGGGCACGGAGATGCCCAGAGGGGAGGTGAGGGGCTTTGCTGTGTATAGGGCTTGCCTCGGTTGAGGGGAGCAGCGGGTGAAGGTGGGATAGAGCCGTGGTTATCCCTGGAAGCAGAAACGTGTCCTCCCAGGGCCACCCCTGCCCCAACTCCAACCGCACCTGGCCTGCTGATGGCAAAGGAGAGGCCGCGCTGCACAGAGAAATGTTTAATACTAAAACTGGTTACAACCATCTCACCAAACCAACCCGAACGCTGCCCCGGACACGGGCTCGGGCCAGCAGCCTGGCACTGATGGCCCCAGGCTGTTGTGCCAGCTCATCGGTGGTACCCAAGCCTCTTGTCCCACGGCTGAGCCCGTGGTCGGTGTCCCTGCAGGGTACCCCGGGGAAGGGCCTTGCAAAGCAGCCCTGGGGCAGCTCTGATAGAAAACATACATTTAAACCCAGCCAGCGTGGAGGAGAAGGCAGAGTCTGTGATGTGCTGCGTACAACCGGGGCTGGGCATGGCGCTGCCGTGTGGGTGCCGTGGGCATGGTTCTGTGCACGCCAGAGTCTGTGGGCACCCCGAAGTCTCTGTGGGCCAGCAGCACAGACCCTTGCTCGTGGGCAGCGAGGCTGGGGTGAAGAGCAGCACAGGTCAATGAGCACAACCCCGGCTGTCCCCGTCGCTGCCGAGGCTCCGGCAGGGATAACGCCGCGCTTCCTGATGCGGACACCGGGACCGAGCCACCCACACAAGGAAGGAAAACGCTGGGCTCCATCCTGCTGCTTCCTCCGCCACCTCTGACACCGCATCCCACGGCCGTGGCACCCCAAAGGGTCACTCCAACCCTCCGCTTGTGGGACTGGGGCTTGACAGAGCTCCAGCGGCTCCGGTTCGTGGGTTAATGCTCCCTCTGAGCTTCTGTATCTGGTGTGTAACTGGGCTGGGGATGGGGCACGTACTGATGGGACAATGCAGTGGGGCTCAGCAGCACCCCGATGCTGTAGTTTAACCCAGTGATAAGGCCCTTCCCAACTCCGTCCATGGTGAAGGGGCAACTCAAGAGGGGACTCTCCCAGCCACGGATGTCTCCAGCAGAAGCAGGGTCACGCACATGAAAAGGAGCAAGTGGCAATAAAAGGATGCATGGGACCTGTGGGACAGCTGGTTCTGGGGTCCCTGGAGAATTCTGTTAGCCTCAAGCCGAGTCTTGGGTCAAAAACATGTCCAAAGGGATGGGACTAAGGGGTTTGGGGAGGAGGGAAGGGGCTGGGGTGGGCAGGACAGAAAGCAGCTACGGGGGGACTGGGGATGTTCAAAGCCTCCCCCCCAGCAAAGCAGGCAGGGGCAATGCACCTGAAAACTAAGCTATAGCGAAAGAAATGGAACTCAACATCAAACCCTGCAGCAGGGAGAGGACAAACACCTCCACAAACAGCACCCCATGCATGGGGCGGGTGCAGGGTGGGGAAGGGACTGCCTGGGCCACGCAGGCAGGGGCAGGAGGGAACCTACCCTTGATGTCCACGGCCTCTCCACGGGGCACAAGCTACACTAAGCAATCCCAAAGTCCGCGCTGGCCGTGTCCCTGGTCTGTGCCCTACGCAGCCTACCGACCCAAAGAGCCACCGACTCGTGACTCGAGCTCTCTGCAACCAAGCAAACCAAGCAGAAGGCTGCTGCTCCGGGGCTCACCCAAAGCTCCCCTCGCCAGCGGGGCTCACCAGCTCCACTCCGGCACTGCCCAAAGGCCGGTGGGACCCTGACCGTCCCGAAGCCTCCACGTGAACCATCCACAGCAATGACCTCCCCGGCTGGTCTGCCCCTTCTCAGCTTGGCCATTCTGGGGTGGGTTTGAAGACGTGGCGTGCATTGTTCATGGTGGGCTGGCAGGCGGTGGTGCTGCGGCTGAAGCCGCTCTGCCACCGTTCACAGGCTGCGTGCGTGACTCGCTCTGGGGGGGCTGCTCGGCCCCTTTTCAGCCCTCCTGAGCCCACTTGAGGAAGGTGGGAATGTCCCGCACCGGCACGTTGCGGGTCAACGCTTTGACTCGTAGGTTCCGGTCGTCCGTCAGCAAAACCACTTCCCTGAGCAAACGGATGGGATCATCTGCAACGAGAGGAAGAGCAGCGGGAAGCTCGGAACCATCCCACACCGCCCTGTCCCCGTCCTCCTTGGGTGCTGCACCCTGGGCATTGGCAGGGCCACCCGGCAGCGCTCCCAGCTCCCTGCTCCTTGGCAGCGCGGCTTGGAGGCAGCACTGCATCCCAAAGCTGCCTCCTCCCCGCTCCCAGTGCTGGTTGGGGGATGATTTGTGATCGCTGGGGCTGGGAAGGCCGTGGAGCAGCACCGAGGGCTCCGTGCTGCCCGCACGGCGCGGTGCACCCGGCAGGGAACAGGAGGTCCCCTCTGCCTGAGCCAGGCCAGGAAGACGTCCCACGACCCTGGCTCCAGCAGGAAGCTGGTGCTATTATTCTGGTGATCTCGTTAGAAGATCTAAAACCACCCCTTCTCTTTTTGTGTGTGTGTGAAGCTCTTTTGGAGCGGCCACTGACACCGAGGCGGTCCTGGCTGGGGCTCAGCCAGCCAGGGAGAGCCGAAGCCTGAGAAAGAACCGAAGGGATCTTGCCCCCAGATGGATGAGCTGCCCCGCACGCAACGTGCCGGGCTGGGATGTGGGAGCCACGCTTACGTGTGTGCGAAGCAGGGGAAGCATATGGGGTATGTGTAAGCAGCTGGGTCCTGTGACCAGAGTACTGTTCCTATGAGCACAGGAAACACAGTGCCTCCGAGCCAGGACGGGAATGGAAAAAACAGAGTTTATGGGAGCCCAACATGGGCCCAGATTGGCTGCACAGGGAGCGGCAGGACGAGGGGAAGGGGAGCGCGGCCAGGAACGCGGGCTACGGTCACGGTGTTGGGGCTGAGCATGGCAGGGCGAGCACCTTGGCGGGCCCATGGCATGAGGAAGAGGAGCAGGGGCTCAGAGCAAGGCCAGGCCTGGGGCTGAGGGCTGCTGGAAGAGGGATGGGGTGGTTTTACGCGGACACTTTAAGAACTGTGTAACAATAAACATCCTCTGCTCCGCGCTGGTGACGCGCCTCCTTGTTACAAACCAGAGGCTGTCAGCTTGTCAGGCCCCATTCCCCATAATCCACATGATTTCAAAATTCAGCATCATTTGCACATAAACATTTGGTGACGGTTTCTCTGTGGATCTGACAAGTTAAGCTGCTAAGAATTCGCACTGACAAATGCGGGTTGATTTCTTGGGCAGCTGCTGATTCGATTCCCATTCCCACTGCTCTGGCAACAGCCTGGGGGATGGCTGATCCCTGCACACGTGGCTGATGCCAATCTGGCACTGGGAGGGAAAAGGGACCTGGACAGGAGGCACCACGGTTCAGGGGGACGAGGCTCTTGCTGGCCGCTCATCACTGCTGCCAGCACCAAGGAATAGCTCCGTGGACACTTACAGTGGGCTGCTCACAGGCTGCGGCATCCCCAGAGCACAAGTGAGGTGCACATTTGGCAATGCAGGGGGAGGGCCACAGCCTGGGGCTGATGGGAGGCAGGAGGTGGCACCTTGGTGTTGAAAGAGGCAAAATGTGGGAGAGATCATCAGCTCCAAAGAGAAAGGAAGGAGGAGAGTCTGTGGAATGCAGCAGAGAAGGGACAGAGAGGATGTGAGGGTGTCCTACCTTTGTTGGAGGGCATGAAATCCTTGGCCTTGTCATT